CAATCGTCTCTTGCAGGACCCAGGGTCGACGGCTCCTGTTGCCAGCTGATGAGGTGAGGCCGCTTACAGCAGCAATCTGGCTACAATTTGGCTTGAGGTGGCCTTGTCTGTGTGTTTTTTGTGCCCTATATGACGACAGAGGCTGAGCTCTCTGCTGGCAGCCGCCATGTGGGTGACCCACCTTGGAAAGGGACCCTCCAGCCCCCAGTTGAGCTGATGCCGCCTGGAGCAGAGACAAGTGGTCCCTGCTGAGTCCCAAGCTGCACATTCACGAGCAAAATACATAGAAATTGCCAGCTGGGCACAGTGGCTCATGCCTGTAATCCCAGCACTTTGGGAGGCTGAGGCAGCTGGATCACCTGAGGTCAGGAGTTCGAGACCAGCCTGGACAACATGGTGAACTCCCGTCTCTACCAAAAATACAAAAATTAACCAGGTGTGATGGTGTGCACCTGTAATTCCAGCTACTCGGGAGGCTGAGGCAGGCGAATTTCTTTAACGAGGAAGGTGGAGGTTGCAGTGAGCTGAGATCACGCCACTGCACTCCAGCCTGGGTGACAGAGCAAGACTCCATCTCAAAAAAAAAAAAAAAAAAAGAGTAGAAATACGATTGTTGTTTTAAGTACCTAAGTTTTGGGATGGCTTATTATGGGATGTTTATCAACCCTTGCCCCGGACCAAGCATTTCTCAGGATGTGTGACTTTCAGGGCTGAAATCCTGACAATCCTGGGCAAACTAGGATGGCGTTCACCCTAAGCTTCAGTCTTCAGTCGGCTGACTTCTCCAGCTCTGTTTCTGAGCTATGTGTGTAAACCTCCATACTTTAGACGAACAGTTTCAAACAGAGACAATGTAGCCCTGCACACCCTGAACAAGGTGGTGGTAATTATGTCTGCTGGCCAATTTCACCGCACCCGCACTCTGTGAGCGACCGAAGCAGCTGACTCAGGCACTGAAATGTGGGGGTAGGAGTCCTCCCGGAGCCCCATCCGGACTACCTTCATGCTTTCTGCTCCTGCCCAAGCAGACTCCTGCCTCAGGGCTGTTGCAGCTGCGTGTCTCTGCCTGGAACACTCATATCCCAGCTCCTTTGACTTCTTTGAGTTATCTTGTTTCCTGATGGCCTCTTTGTACCAATGTGAGCCCCATAGGGACCGGGGAGGGGTCGCATCCATACTGTCCAGCACTCAGTGCCTGCTCAGCAGGAAGGGCTCACATCTTTTTTTTTTTTTTTAAACAGTCTCCCTCTGTTGCCCAGGCTGGAGGGCAGTGGCACGTCTCAGCTCACGGCAACCTCTGCCTCCCGGTTCAAGCGATTCTCCTGCCTCAGCCTCCTCAGCAGCTGGGACTACAGGCACGCGCCACCATGCCTGGCTAATTTTTGTATTTTTAGTAGAAACAGGGTTTCACTATGTTGGTCAGGCTGGTCTCAAACTCCTGACCTCGTGTTCCGCCGGCCTCGGCCTCCAAAAGTGTTGGAATTACCGGCGTGAGCCACCGTGCCTGGCCCACAACGTATTTTTTAATGCTGGAAGAATAAATGAATTGGGAGGGTGCTCAGAGGTTATGCAGGTCCAATGCCCACCACAGCAGAAATCCCCTCCGTGAGAACCCTGGCAGGTGATAACCTTTGGCTTAGACGCCTGTAGCAGGGAGAGCTCACTACGTCACAGAGCAGCCGGTTCCATTAGGTTTTTAAAAAGCGTTTCACTGTGATATTAAGAATCATCTCCCTATGATCTTTCACGCCTGCTCCCCAGGCCTTCGTCACCCTGACTGCCTCCTGCAAGAGAGCTCAAGCTTGCCATATCCTGTGCACTGGCGATGAGGCCCAGACAGGTCTCCGGCCCTCTGGATCCGGGTGTCTCTATGTGCCCTGAAATGACTTATTTCAGGATGGTGGGCACCAATATAGCCTCAGGAATTCTGAAAATTTGTAAAAATGAAGGAAGAGTTCATCTGGTGGCATAGTTTTTTCTTTTTAAACTTAAGATGATGGGAAAAGCTGAAGAAAGTAACACCTCAAATCTAAATCTTATGCAATCTTATCCAAAATAATTTGGATACCTCGGGATCCAGGTTCTGTCTCTCCGATCTATTTAGAGACACCATAAAAGACCATCTCTGGTCCTGGGCTACACTCCACTGTTCAACATGACGGGCAGTGGTTCTATTTCTCCAGGTTAGAACCCATCGTGGGAGTGGCTCCACCGTTAGGAACCTGTATGTCCTGTGGGCCCATCTGATTTCATCTCCTCTGAGCGGGTGTGGGATGCCCAGGGGCCATGCAGAGAGGCGACGGTGCAGCCCTGGGAATGTGGGGCAGGTGACCTCTTGTCCTGGCCTGTGAGGCCGGCCCTGTGTTCTCTGAGGGGTCACCCTCTGCAGAAGTATGCTCTCAAGGTGTGGCCTCAGCCAAAAAAACAAACAAGATGAAGCCTCAAAGTTTAGCTCCATTGTAGCTATTGTGCTTGTACCGGAGACTTTTGTCTGGGAGCCGGCAGGAGTCTTGAAGCCTGGTGTTGCTCTGCGTAGGCTGCTGAAATGACAAGGGGACAGCTCAGCTCTGGACAAAAACACCTCCCTGGACGCTGAGACATCACGCTTTACCTCCAAGTCCTTAACGAGGATGGAGAAAACCACAGAGTGAATGCTGGAACTTCCCGGGACGTTCCCTTCCTCACCCAGTACCCCCCGCCATCAGCCTCAGTCCTTTTCATTTTAATCAGTCCCATAAGCCAGCCTCTACTTTTCAAAGGATCCGAGGAACCTTCCTGCCAAGTCCCACTGAGCTCTTGCCACACTCGAAGATGTGGGCCAGGCTCTTGTGTAGGTTAAGGAAGTCTGAGAAGAATAGAGATTATAGGAAACAGTCTACCTTTCTTTACAAGGCCTTGTTTTGCATCCCTGAAATCTCAGATTCAGCTCTTACAATGAAGTCCTGTTGTAGAAAGAGCTGGCCTTTTATCACCACTTAAAATCTAATTAATCCATATTGAAGCACAAAGATTTCTGTTGTATTTTAGGGTGAGGGGTCATAGAGCCTTCTTTGTTCATCCTTAGACTTATAATCATCAGGCATTGGGGATATAATTTTACCAAATTGGAAGGTAACAGATCAAGTCCTTATCAGAAAGCCTAACTCATAGTTTTAAGAGAGTCCTTCGTCCTTTATGTGAAACATTATATTCAAGAAGAACAAAAACGCATTTCAGAGTGCCCAAAGAGTTAATGACCACAGCTTATATTCCAGGCAGCATAGAACCAAGATCGTCACATTACCGTCAACCACAAAAGACAGCAGATCCTATAGGGGTGGCAAAGTCCTAAGACTTGTTGCAATGGCTTTAATCTTTAGAATAGTGATGCAATCTGTTGGACTTTTACTATCTTTTCTGGGATGGATTTTATCCATTATTACAACTTATTTGCCACACTGGAAGAACCTCAACCTGGACTTAAATGAAATGGAAAACTGGACCATGGGACTCTGGCAAACCTGCGTCACCCAAGAGGAAGTGGGGATGCAATGCAAGGACTTTGACTCCTTCCTGGCTTTGCCTGCTGAACTCAGGGTCTCCAGGATCTTAATGTTTCTATCAAACGGGCTGGGATTTCTGGGCCTGCTGGTCTCTGGGTTTGGCCTGGACTGTCTGAGAATTGGAGAGGGTCAGAGAGATCTCAAGAGGCGACTGCTGATCCTGGGAGGAGTTCTGTCCTGGGCCTCAGGAATCACAGCCCTGGTTCCTGTGTCTTGGGTTGCCCACAAGACAGTTCAGGAGTTCTGGGATGAGAACGTCCCAGACTTTGTCCCCAGGTGGGAGTTTGGGGAGGCCCTCTTTCTGGGCTGGTTTGCTGGACTTTCTCTTCTACTGGGAGGGTGTCTGCTCAACTGTGCAGCCTGCTCCAGCCACGCTCCCCTAGCTTCGGGCCACTATGCAGTGGCGCAAATACAAACTCAGTGTCCCTACCTGGAAGACGGGACGGCAGATCCTCAAGTGTAAGACTCCGACGAGGCCAGAGATGTATCCTATATCAACCGTGATGACAAAGATCTCTTTGTTTTGTAGCTAAATCTGTGATGCTCATGTTTTCTCATTCAGTAACTATTTCTCTACAGTAGGCAGACCCACTTCCCTCTAAAATCTAGAGAATAATGAAGGAAAAATATTTCATCTAAAAGAAAATGACTATGGTAAGCATTATATAGGTAGAAGTGAAACAAGCTTCACTGATCTGGTTATTGAAAGAATGTGGTGGCTGTCCAGTATAGTCAGTTTCAAGCTTTAATGTGTAAATTTCGTATTAGAAAGCTTTTTTTCTTTTCTTTTTTTTTTTTTTTTGTTGTTGTTGGTAGTTAGAAATGATCATTAGTTTCTGTTTCCTAAAGAAAAAAACTAACGATCTGAAAATTTTAAGTGTTCTACTTTAGCAAAGCCACATGCTAAGCCAACCCCAAAGTGTTATTTCCACAGCAACGACTTTTTTCTTCTTTGAACAGAAGTGGTTTGTGTTTAGGGTATTACCAGGCACTCAGTGCGACAAGATTTTATGAGGCTGAAGAGTTTTCAGTACCTCGTGATACTCTCAGATTTAAAATACTGGCCAATCTCTTCTCTCGTCCTTTCCCTCGAAACCTTCGTGTTAAAAAAAGAAAAACAATTCCAAAGACATTTTTCTTAATATCCAGATATTGTCAGGTCATTTGAATAAAAACTTTCCTTTGTTCAATGAAAAATCACTAACATGGGGATATATACTTTAGTGGTGAATAAACAGAAATGCTGACTGCAACCTGCAGAGTCCTAATGCTGAACTCTTTCCTCGACTTAGAAAGTATATATAAGAAAAACGTGTTTATGCACACAAGCGTAAATTTGACAGAAAGGCATGCAGTTAAATAAACTAGATATGTAGTTTGGTATTGCTTCAAATGCCGTGTGGTATATGTAGCCTGAGGAATTTCTGAAACACAGGCCCGAGTTAAGGTGTAGAGATATTTCTGATAAGATTGATTTATTTGGTTAAGAAATACTTTTCTTGAACCTATTTTTTAAAAGTAACACTCAGTATTACCATAACATGCACATTTGAAATGTGAGAACTATAAGAGATGAAAATCTGACAGGTGCAATTAGTGAGATACAAAGCAGGAGGTGTTGAACCAAAACCATCAGTTAAACATTTTGCATTCAGACTTAATTCTTTGTTAGAAAGGTTGGGAATAACATGAAAGCCATTTTAACCTTAACAACGAAAGGAGGATTATTATCACTTAATTATATTTCAGTGACAAACTGCTTTCTGCAAAATCCAGCCCACAGGACACAAACACGATCTTGGCCACACCTTGGCATTACTGGTTTGCAGCATTATTTCCCTATCCTTTTCTGAAACCCATTCAACATGGAATCAAACAATAGCAACTCTGGCAAGAATCCTCCTATATACACAATGAAGAAATATTTCTGAGCTTCATAAGTTATAATACAAGTGTCACACTTCTTTTCACAGCAGCCGAAGGACAGGAGTTTGTTTGGTTAAAGCTCTCAGGACATTATAATGGCTTTAGTATTTAGAACTGTGGCTCAACTAGCTGGAGTTTCATTATCTTTGCTGGGATGGGTTTTATCCTGTCTTACAAACTACCTGCCACACTGGAAGAACCTCAACCTGGACTTAAATGAAATGGAAAACTGGACCATGGGACTCTGGCAAACCTGCGTCACCCAAGAGGAAGTGGGGATGCAATGCAAGGACTTTGACTCCTTCCTGGCTTTGCCTGCTGAACTCAGGGTCTCCAGGATCTTAATGTTTCTATCAAACGGGCTGGGATTTCTGGGCCTGCTGGTCTCCGGGTTTGGCCTGGACTGTCTGAGAATTGGAGAGGGTCAGAGAGATCTCAAGAGGCGACTGCTGATCCTGGGAGGAGTTCTGTCCTGGGCCTCGGGAATCACAGCCCTGGTTCCTGTCTCTTGGGTTGCCCACAAGACGGTTCAGGAGTTCTGGGATGAGAACGTCCCAGACTTTGTCCCCAGGTGGGAGTTTGGGGAGGCCCTCTTTCTGGGCTGGTTTGCTGGACTTTCTCTTCTACTGGGAGGGTGTCTGCTCAACTGTGCAGCCTGTTCCAGCCACGCTCTCCTAGCTTCGGGCCACCATGCAGTGGCGCAAATGCAAGATCATCATCAACTGGAGACAAGAAACACCAACCTGAGAAACTAAGCCAGAAAGGACAAGCGTCTGCTGTTCAGGAGACGCCTGCTCAACACTGGATTTGGTAGGAGGTCCCGCTCTAGTCATCTCACTGTGCTTCTGATTTTCGAAAATGCATTTTTTCCTGTGACTGTTAAACTATAGTTTCTTTCCAAGACTAGTAAACTATTTTTATCTTCTACTCTGAGATCAAAACCAATCAAGACTTCATAGTAATGACACCCATTACTGTGGATGAGTGTTCTCAATTTTAAAACAGTGATTGCATAGAAGTGGTAAATAAAACGTTAATCTGTATGTGTCTTTGAAGGTGTTATTCATATGGAGCGGAATCATCTGGCAGATCACTGACTTCTTTCAGGTGTTTAAGATAACCTAGTATAATAAGCCTGAGCTGCATACTTATTTAAAATGCATGACGTCTTATTATATAAAAGAATGATGAGCTCTTTAAAAGCTTTAGAGGTGAAAGGCGTAGACACATCATCTCCTGAATCAGAGACCTGTGTCTCTATGGAACCTTTTCTCAAAAGGCAGCCACATTCAGTCATGCCTTCTAAACGATGTCAGAAGCAGGAGGGTGATCTTGTGTTTTGGATGATTCAAGTAGGCTCTGGCACACAAACGTGCTTCTGCATCCTGTGCTCTGTATTTCGTGGGCAGCGTTTCTGGCTTCCCTGGCACTGAGCAGTCTGTGGGGGGCAGGGCAGGGCAGGGCAGGACTGGTGTGTGTGTAGAGACCTCCTGGGATGGCTGCCTCTCCGTGGAGCACGCTGCCAGCCCAGGCGGAACGACCACAGAGCACACACTCTGGAGCCCTTCATTTTATTTGCACAATGAAAAGACTGCGTCCTTTTTTATCAGCAATACACACAGTTCCAACAAGAACTATTCATCACAAACTGCTGGCTTGGGGATTCTTCGTGAAATATTTTGTATTTGCTTGGTACATGGTTCCAGGAAACTCGTGTGTTTGTGCCAGTCAGGGAAATAAACTGAACAATAAACGACACTGAAATAGACTATTAGGCAATATGTAGCTTTGTTTTTTGTTTTTGTTTTTTTAAAAACCGACTGAATTTTTTTCCACCCACAAACACTTGGAAAGTGCAGAAACCAAAGTTAATCTATGTGATGTATTTGCATACGTTTACAAACAAGACAGATTAAAACAGAAACATGTTCAGAATTTAACCTGATTAAATATTAAGTTCAGTCCTGAGCTTTTGATATTTCATACAATATAGATAAAGCAATAGCAAAAAATTTTAATTTATTTGATTTGCATGCTACAGAGATTTAGCTAAACTTTGTTCATTTGGCTAGCAATATCCTTTTTGTACCTGTAACACTTAAGATTCTGATATACAAAATTGTAATAATATAATGATAATTCAAACTTGAGAACTAAATATTACATTCTTTTTACCCTGTGTGAATAAATTCTACCTTTTAAAAATAGTATTTATAATATTAAAATTCGTATTTGTCCATATGGTTTTGTGATCAAGTTATTAAAATGTTTTGTCACTGTGAATCATTTGGGTTAGTACAAATATGACAAGATTATTAAAAGCTGCCTATAAATACATAACACTATTGCTGACTTTTAAAGTGTAGAAAAAGGATTATATTAAAATAAGTTCATCTCTCATGTTAGAAATGAGGAGATTTTGTGAAATACAACAACCAAAAGCATCTTGGTCACAACTGCTAACTACCAGCCTGAGACAGATTTTATTCTTTAATACTTGTCTGAAACTTTTTGTATTACAAAAAGTCCACAGCTAATCTGATGAAAGACTTATAAAGCTGTAAATATTCCAATATAGTCTCTTCTGTGTCAAATATTTAAAATGGCCAGAATCAAACTATATATTAAACAGAACATAAATAAGACTGTAAATAAATAAATGAAGAAAATAAAATCGTACAGAACAACTACACATAATTCTATAGACATCTTCATGGTCAAACTAAGACGCTGAAAACAGCCCACCTTCATTTACCTCCACGTTAAATAAACTTCTGTCTTTCACACTGGACCTCGACAAGGGTGAACTGTATTCTTTTTCTAGTTTTCCTTAGTTATCTAAGAGAATGAACTGGGCAGTCTTAAAGGACTGTACTCAGTCAATTCACTAGGCTGGTTTTTGTTCAAAGTAGTGTCTGCCATGTCCAGTTATGCCTTCAAAGAAATTTGTATGTTAAGTGGTGGGACATTTAGGAAAAAATAAAGTTCTAGGCTCAGAAGTTGCTTAATTTGAACTTCGATTCCAATAACATGAACTTTCCAAAATATATACAATTGCTTTCAGGAAAATAAAAATTCTTGCTAGTGAGCATTCTAACTTAGGAACACAACTTTTTTGTTCTTTAAGGGGTTCCTTTAAGACAATTTTGGATTTCTTTAAAAAAATCTATTTTATTTGCCATATTAGATGGCTAACCCCAAATTGTTTCTGAGTAATAAGTATGGTTTAAATGGTCTAAATATTATATATTTTAAAAGCTTGATGCTGGCAGAGCTGCACTGAGGATATGTTTTTTAAGACGTGCCTGGGTTGGGTAAGGTGAAATTCTAAACTGGAGGACGCATTAGTCAGTTTCTCTCTCTAAACTTGTTCATCCAAAAGTCATTTCATAAACAATTTAGCTTGTACTTCAAATTAATAATCCCCCCAGGCACATTCTTCCCTTTGCCTCCGAACTATTTACCATAAATTATAGATAGAATCCCCTAAAAATGAGAGCTATGAAGCAATTTCTACTAAATGTTAGAAATCTCTTGATAAACTCATTTGTTTTTGGCAACTTTCATTCTATCAAGACATCTTTTCCCCTCTTCTTGGTTATACCAAATGAGTGCCGATGCGTTTCTCTCCACACCTCCAGCTTTCTCTGTCCTTAGAACACAGGGCCACCACTTGGCACCATCCTTAGATTTAGGGCAAAACACTGGTGCAAGCCAGAAACTCACATTTGAACACTTCTGCAAATTCAGGCTCAGTGAGAGAAACCAGCTGCTCATTTGATGAGCTTATTTGTATCTCTACATGGCTGATGTTCTTTCTTCTCCTTGCCCTCAGTGTCATGAATCCCAAGATCTTCAGTGCCAAGAGCAGTGCTCCTTTGTATTCTTATTCTTAAGATAACTTGGTAGTTTATATTTTTGTTTTCTTTAGAAAAATATAAAAGGACAAAAAGGAAATCGTTTTAAGGAAACCAGGTGTTGCCGCACAGGTGATGGCCATGAACGCAGCATCCATTTTGGGTGGACTTTGGAACGCCGCACCCCAGCGACTGCTCACACTCTCCTCGCCAGCGCACAGATACCACGTGGCGGTGCTGCCATCGGCAGGGCCTACTCACAGAAACACAAAGGAGAAGCAAGACCACCTGCTGAACCAAGTTGTCTCTCAACAGTCGGCTCAACAGTACACACGTGGGGTAGTACTGCCTCCGTTCCGTGTTTACAAAATAAAGCCCACTGGCAATGCGCACATTCTGGGCAACATTTGTGTACCAGATTATCCCATTTTTCTTATCTGATTTTTTCTTGTTTAAGCACATAAAAATTACACTCAAGGTACTTTACAAATTAAAATGTTGAAAATCTGATGTGAAATAAAAGTTCTTCAAGAGTTGACAGTTATGTTACCAAAAACAACCAGACACCAAAACAAAAAAACAAATCTTCAGTCTTTTACCCTCCCTAAAAAAGTGAACAGATGACAAAATAATTTCTTAAACCATGTAATCACACATCGTCAGCCGGCAGGGACGGGATGCTTATCTTTGCTCTGGTGAAGTAGGCAATCTTCTCCCTAGAGTTGGGGTGAGAAATAAATTGACTTAAATATGACGCTAAAAATACTCTGGGACCATTAAAACAGTCCCCAGGACCTGCAGCGGCAGTGATGTCTCTACAGGCACAGGCAGAAGCTCTTTTCCTTAAGCAGAACTCCATCCATTTACAATCAAGAGAGTCTCTGCCTGCTAAAGGGAGGGTATCAAGGAGAACAGCAGCTCTGGCTCACAGAAGTCACCTCTAGACCAAGCCAGTAAGCTCCCTTCAGGGAACTTCCAACAGAAGACAGTTTTAAGCTAGTAGGGGTCTGGTCTAGGATGGGTGCTTCCAAACTAGGCAGTGGAAGACTCAAAAGGCCCAAAATTCTACGTGGAAACTTCTCAGTAACCTCACAGAAAAGTACATAATACCAGGAAAAGTCTTTAAAATCGATACTGTGCTGAGGCAGGGACAACCTGATGAGTGACACCACGACTCAAATGAAAGGAGAAGGAGGAACTCACTATCTGAAAGGCAGTAACTGCCCTGGTCCCGAAGCAGCAGAGAGGCTGAGACAGGGCAGAGTGGTTTTCAGGTGAGGAGAATACTTAAAAAAAAAGACAAACAGTACGTCTATGTTCCTACAGAACTTCACACTGTACATTTATGCCGTCAGCGCGTATTTCTTGAGGGCATACGACATGCAAGGGGCACACTGGTAGCTGAAGAATCAAGCACTGGCCCTCCTCTGTGAAAGAACAGTCCAGATGGGGGAGGAGGCGCGGGGTAGAAACCAGAGCCGAGGTGAGGATGTTCTGAAGACTAAGGAAGGACAGAGGAGAAGAGGAGGAGTGGAAACACTGGACACTGGGGCGAGCTACTGCTGCGAGCAGCGTCCTTTACATTTGTTCACTTCCATAAGAGGAAAATGAGAACGAAAATCGCCCCGAGTGTGGGCGTGATGTCAGCAGAGGCCGTAAGGCGCAGCTGGTAACTGGGGTGTTTAAAAATACCCGCACTAGTTGCCAGTGCCTGCATTTGAGATATTTCATATAAAATTGTTGATTTCTAACTTCTCTTGAAAAATTAGAAGGCCAGGGACCATCAGGCTCCTGATTCCAGGTGAAATAAGCAGCTGGGGTGGTGCCGGGCAGAACGCCCCAGGCCCCACCGCTGCCCATCTCACCACCCCAGGCCAGGCACCAGCAGCCGCGCAAATCCCACGCTTCCAGCGCGGCCTGTCTCACCCTGTCCATCTCATCATTCTCATCACTTGCCTGGTGATATAATGGCTTCGTATCTTAAGGGAAGCTGGGAATGTTCATGGATTCTTTGCTTCGGGCTTCAGCAACAACTGCTAGTTGTGTGACTTTCCATGCCGGGCAATGCTGCTTACTCTCTAAGTGACCACAGCAACAGGGGCATGGATGGACTCCCCTCACCTGCAGTTCTAAAACCCAAGGAGTGGCACTCCCTGAAAGTCACAAATGTGATTATTGAGCAGAAAAGAGGGCGGAAAAACCTCTCCACTGCAAGATGCTGCATAAAAATGAAGGAGCTGTGAGTCCACTAAGGCCCACTGCTGCTGCCACATGGTGCGTGGCCCTGCCCTCCCGCCTGGCACTAGACAGCGTGCCAAAGCTGTCCCTGCTCCACCACGTGACCTAGCTTCCCCACACTTCAAAAACACTCGCTTCTTCCAGGCTTCTCCCCTTTACACCTAAACGCTTTCCAAAGACTCGTCTATACAAAACCTCAATCAAAACCCAATAAAAACCCAGTAGGAGCAAACCTTTCTGCCGAGCTCCCTCCGACGGGGCTGAAAACATCTGCTGTGCTCACCAGGGATCCCGGGTGCACTTTGCAGTTCTCTCCATCAATGTCCTCTCCCCATCCTCCAGCCCCAGGCTCCTGGTTCTCCTCTGACCTCTCCAGCCATTCCTTCCAGTATCTCTTTTGGGGTGAGCCCTTCAGTGACTGGTGCCCACCAGGCCTCCTTTCCCAGTCACCTCACATTTTCTGGGATGTCTGGTCCGTTTCCACTGATGAGACCAGTGCATTGAAGATGAGCACTCCCATTTTTTAATCTCCATCCTGACCCCAACCTTGGCTTTAGATTTTTATTTTCACTTGTCTGCTGGTCATGGTTACCTTGCTGGCCTGCTGGCATTGCCTGGTGTGCCATGGCAGAGGTCAGCATCCTCCCCACACCCCTGCTCCCCAGCGTTCTCCATCTCAAGCGCTGGCACCATAGGACAGCCACTGCCCCCCATGAACCTCCCATGAACCTCACAGGCCACCCTTACCCGTTTCTCCCCAGCCCACTCTCCACAATGCCTGATATCTGCCCCACATAGAACCCATTCCCATCATTTGGTTTTGTGCATGGAGAGCCCTGCTGGCTGCCCGATCAGAAACCGCGAGTGGAAGCCTCTTCTGCACAGCTTCCGAGGCCTGTGCAGTCTGAGCCCAGTTCTCCCAGACAGGCTCACCAGCTGGCAACTCCCCATGCGCCAGAGCTTGGCACTGACTTCTAAGGTCTGTGCCTCTGTCCGTGCTGTTCTTCCTGCCTCAATGTCCCACTCAAAACTGCCACCCCTAGGTGCCTAAGGAGCTTGCAGCCATCCTTCCATGATGGGTTCTCTTATAATCTCCTCCGCTGGTGCCCGCAGCCCCAGCACCTGCCCCATATGGATTGAGGCTCCTCCCACATCTCTCACAGGTCCCTACCCATACCTTTAGTGAGCTCTTTCCACACGCACTGCAATGACCTGGTTACCTGCCTGTCCCCACTACAGCCTAGAGCCCCCGAGAAGAGCAGAACACACATGTTCTTAGCCTCCGCATCTCAGGGCCTGACAAGGTGCAAGGTTTCTGGGGCTGCCCAAGGAATGTCTGTGAAATGAGTGAACAAAACCCCAGAGATGTCTGAGTTTTCTGTACCTTTGTATCCTGGGTCGGAATAGTCCAATGAGATGTGCTAACAGCTACTAAGAGCTGGGGACACCCTGGGTTCTTGAGGGGAGTTAGGCTCTCATCAGCCTTTAACTCTGCCAGTCACATTTATCACCTCAGGTGCAAATGGGAAATTACATATTCAAGGCAGGGAACACAGGATTTCTGTCTCAGATCCTGGTATTAACTTTCACTGCACTGAGGTGAATTCCTACACAATCAGACCACATGAGGGCAACCCAAAAGCTGTCCTGGATGGGGCTATTCACCTGAAGGACTGCACCTGCCGAGGCACCTTCTGGCTCTGCTCCCGGAGCCGACACACGTCCTTGGAGACTTGCCTCATCAACTTCTCTGCATTCAAACCTTGCTTCTGCTCTTCTTTGGACTGTTCGGCCTGGAAAAGGGAATAAAAATGTAAGAAAAACACAAAACACTGATTAGAAATCCCTGGAGACAACCTATGAGGCTTGAAAGATTGTGACTAAAGTCAGGAGGGCAAGCAAGACAGTCAGAGGGCTGGTGTCCTTTACATCACGCGTCAGGGGCCAACACCCACGTGACCGGCTCATGCTGAGTGGGAGCATATGTGGATTTTGGGGTAAGTTCATTTCAATCACATTTTAGAAATCGAATTACACAGGTAATATGTGACAATTTTATTACATCTGAAAAACCTAAGAACTCTTAAAAATGAAACAGAAAATTACTCATAGCACGTTTTCCAAAAAATACCTACAGTTAAAGGATGTTTTGGGCAAATACACTTTCAACATCTTATTTATCTTTTTGACCCTTTTTTCTAACTTAGCCATTTAAAAAGCTGTTTATTAAAGTAGAATTTACCAATCAAAAAATGTGCACATATACGTGTATAGCTCAAATAACTTTTACAAATTGAACACACCCATGTCACCAGCACCGGATGAAGGAGAGGACACTCCTGTTTCCAAGAAGCCCCCTTTGGTGCCCTTCCAGCTCTGCCCAGGGTTCCCAGCATTCCGACTTCTAACGTGCCTCTTCTGTCCTTGGTATAGAGGAACAGTAAACAGATACTCTTCAGGGTCTGGCTTCTTTTGCTCAACATTATGCTCACGAGAGTCATACACACTGTTATCTGTAGTTGTAACTCACTTTCCCCACAGCTGTATAATACTCCACTGTATGACTTTACTACAATGTATAATCTGTTAGTAATAATGAACATTTGGGTACTGTGCATGAACATGTTTTAAAATAAAAATGTACTAATGATATTATATTAAAAGTTGCCTTTTCATTTCATTCTTTCACTCATATCCATTCACTCATTCATTCACCCAGTCAACAAATATTTGTGGACTGCCTTTTAAGGAAAGGTGGTATAAGTGGGTGAAGAGCAAACGCTCAGATATATGGCTTGGGGTCAAATTTCATTTCTACCACTTACTAGTGATGTAAATCTGGGCAAGTTGCTTGACCTCCTGGTGTCTTAGTTTTTCCATTTGTAAACTGGGAATAAGTACTTACTTCAAAGTTGTGAAGTTTAAATGAGTACATACACATGTAAAGTACTTACAGCAGCACCCAACACATCACTGAATATACTATTTCAGAAGGAAGCTATCACTGTTGCTTTTTTTTTTTTTTTTTTTAAACAATATGCCAGGTTCTGTACTAGGTGGCAGGGTTATAGTTGTGAACAAAACAGGTGAAGTCCAGGCTGGGAGGCCAAGGTGGGAAGATTGCTTAAGGCCAGGAGTTTGAGACCAGCCTGGACAACATAGGGAGACACTGTCTCTATGAAAAAAAAAAAAATTAACTAGGCGCAATAGCATGTGCCTGTGGTCCCAACTACTCAAGAGCCTGAGGTGAAAGGATCACTTGAGCCTGGGAGTTTGAGGCTGCAGTGAGCTATGATCGCCCCACTGCACTACAGCCTTCATGACAGAGCAAGACCCTGTTTCAAAAACCACAACAAACAGAAAAACAGGTGAAGACCAGTGGCAGAGAAAAACAACAGCAAAGAACAGAAACTGTTTAATAATTATTAAAAATCAACAACATATTGTATTTTCTCAGGTTAAACCTTCCGCACATAACATTAAAAAACATAGTCTATTTATTAGAGCAGTTTTAGGTTCATAGCAAAATGGGTTGGAAAGTAGAGTTCTCATTTACTCCCTGCCCCTACTCATGCACAACCTCTCCCACTATCAGCATCCTCTGCCAGCGTGGTACATCTGTGACAATCAGTGAACTCATATTGACACTTCATCATCACCCCAAATCCATAGTTTATATTAAGCTTTGCTCTTGGTGGTGTATATTCAATGGGTTTTGGCAAAAGTGTAACGACAGGTACCCACCATTATAATATCATACAGAGGAGTTTCATTGCTTTAAAATTCCCCTGTGCTCTCCCTATTCCTCCCTCTTGGTGTTATGCATTTAAGTTTCCTCCATGTCTTTTTCATGGCTTGATAGATAGCTCATTTCTCTTTAGTGCTGAAGAGTATTCCATTGTTTGAATATACTAGTTTATTTAATCATTCACCTACTGAAGGACATCTTGACTGCTTTCAAGTTTTGGCTATTATGAATAAGGCTGCTGTAAATATTCATGCAAATGTTTTCATGTGGACGTAAGTTTTCAACTCATACCAAGGAGCACAACTGCTGAATAGTATGTAAGAATCTGCTTAATTTTATAAGAAATCTACAACTGTCTTCGAAAGTGCCTGTATGATTTTGCATTTCTATCAGCAATGACTGAGAGTTCCTGTTGCTCCACATCCTTGTCAGCATTTGGTGTTGTCTGTGTTTTGGATTTTGGCCACTCTAACAGGTGTACAGAGGTATCTCATTGTTATTTTACTCTGCAATTTCTTATTGATATATGACGTTAAATATCTTTTCACGTGTTTATTTGTTATCTGCTTTGGTGAGGTGTCTGTTCAGGTCTTTTGCTGATTTTTAAACTGGGTGTTTGTTTTGTATTGTTGAGTTTTAAGAGTTTTTTGTAACTTAGATAACAGTCCTTTATCAGATATAACTTTTACAAATATTTCTCCCAATGTGTGGCTTTTTTTCTCTTTTTCTTGACAGTGTCTTTCACACAGAAGTTTTAAATTATAACAAAGTCCAACTTATCAGTTATTTCTTTCATGGATCACGCCTCTGATGTTGTGTTGTATATGAAAAGTCATTGCCATACCCAAGGTCATCTAGATTTTCTCCTAGGGTAACTTCTAGGAGTTTTATAGTTTACATTTGACATTTAGGTCTGTGATCATTTTGAGTTAATATTTGTGAAGGGTGTAGAAGGGTCTATATTCAGATTCATATTTTTTTGCATGTGAATAGATATCCAGTTGTTCCAGCATCATTTGTTGAAAAGAGGATCTTTTTTGGATTTATTTTCTTTGCTCCTCTGTCAAAGGTCAGTTGAATATAGTCAGCCCTCTGTATCTGTGGGTTCCACATCCATGGATTCAACCAATCATGAATTTAAAAATATTTGGGAAAAAGTGGATGGTTGCATCTGTACTGACATTGTTTTTCCTTATCATTATTCCATTAATGACATTATTATTACTACATTATACTGTATTACTACTGTCATTAAATACAGTATAACAATTATTTACACAGTATTTAAATTATAATAGGTATTATAAGTTATCTGGAAATGATTTAAAGTATATGGGAGGATGTGGGTTATATGCCAATACTATATCATATTATATAAGGGACTTGAGCATCTGTGTCCATGGGGAGTCCTGGAACCAATCCCCACTATGGATGTTGAAGGATGACTGCACATTGAAGAGAGTCGATCTATTTCTAGGCTCTCTATTTTGATTTGTCTATTTTTTCACTAATACCACACTGCTTTGATTACCATAGCTTTATAGTGTCTTGAAGTCAGGTAGTGTCAGTCCTCCAACTTCATTCTTCTCCTTCAATACTGGGTCTTTTGCCTCTCCATATAAACTTTAGAATCAGTTTGACTATTACATAATAACTTGATGGGATTTTGAGTGGGATTGTATTAAATCTATAGATTGATTTGGGAAGTACCAACATCTTGACAATATTGAGTCTTCCTATAATCATGGAATATTTTCCCATTTATTTAGTTTCTTTTAATTTTTCTTTCATCATAATTACGTAGTTTTCCTCTATAGATCTTATAAATATTTTGTTAAGATTTACAAGTATTTCACTTTTTGGATACTAATGTAAATGGCATTGTTTTTAACTTCAAATTCCACTAGTGCATTGCTGGTATATAAAAAAGTGATTAACTTTTGTATAGTAACCTTGTATCCTACAACCTTGTTATAATCACTTATTAGTTCCAAGAGTTGTTTCTGTTTGTTTTGTTTTTGGTCAAATCTCTCAGGTTATCTACATGGACAACCATCTTACGTGTAAACAAAGACAAACAAAGACAATTTTGACTTCCTTCCCAAGTGGTATGCCTTTTTTTTTTCTTTTCTTATCGCATTAGCTGAGATTTCTAGTGTGATACAGAAAAGATGTGAGAGGGGACATTTTTACCCTGTTCCTAATCTTAGCAGGAAAGCTTCTAGTTTTTCAGCATTAAGTATGATGTTAGTTGTAGAGTTTTCTACATGTTCTTTAAGGTCTCTTCTACTCCTAGTTTGCTGGGAATTATTTTTAGCATGAGCAGGTGTGGATGTGATTACAACAATTGATTTTGAATGTTAAATCAGCCTTGCGCACCTGGGATAAATCTCCCTTGGTTATGGTATATAATTCTTTTTCTATATAGTTGGATATGATCTGCTAATATTTTGCTAAAGATTTCTGCATCTATATTCACAAGAGGTATGGGTCTGTAGTTTCCTTGTCTTTGCCTGGTTTTGGTATTAGGATAATGCTGGCCTCACAGAATAAGCTGAGAAGTATTCTCTTTGCTTCTGTTCTCCAAAAGAGATTGCAGAGAATTGATAAAGTTGTTTCCTTAAATGTTTGGTAGAGGCCAGGCACTGTGGCTCATGCCTGTAATCCCAGCACTTTGGGAGGCCGAGGTGGGCAGATCACCTGAGGTCACGCATTTGAGACCACCCTGGCCAATGTGGTGAAACCCCATCTCTACTAGAAATACAAAAATTAGCCAGGTGTAGTGGTGGGCACCTGTAATTCCAGCTACTTTGGAGGCTGAGGCATAAGAATCTCTTGAACCTGGGAGGCGGAGGTTGCAGTGAGCTGAAATCATGTCACTGCACTCAACCCTGGGCGACAGTGCAAGACTCTGTCTCAAAAAAAAAAAAAAAATTGGGTAGAATCTACTAGTAAATCCATCTATGCCTGGTGCTTTCTATTTGGGAAGGCTATTATTGATTCCATTTCTATAATATAGATAGGCCCATTCAGACTATTTCCTGG